CCCTTCCTTTTTTTTTTTTTTTTTTTTTTGTGTGTGTGTGTGTGGTACTGGGGATCGAACTCGGGTCCTTGCGCTTGTGAGGCAGGCCGCCAAACCACTGAGCTAAATCCCCAGCCCTCTTCCTCTTTTTATTTGATTATTTCATATATTTTCATACAGTAACAGAAAGCTGACTAACACACTTTCCAACCTTTTTATGTTATAGCACATAGAGAAATCAGCTCAGGAACTCTAACTGAACTAGGCCCTTCTCAACCCACACCCAGAGCAACTGCCTAAGGCTGAAGGAGTGCCCTAGTAACACACCTGGAACTCCAGACACCAGTGTGCCACAGCTCTGCCACCCACCATGGACCCTTAGAAAGCAGTTAAAGTAAGCAAGGCCTTTCTGAAAGGCTGCTATCCCCTGGCTTCCCAGAAGCCCCTTTAACTTCTCCTTGCTACCCTGCTAATAGAACTCTTCCATTTCTTTTTTTTTCTTTTTCTTTCTTCTAGGATCTTTCATTTCTGCCACAAGTTTCACCTGTTCTCTCGTCCACACTATTGGAATACCTTCCAAATTAGCACCTATTTCTTGGCCAAGGATAGAGTAAATAACCCAGTGTATTACATGGTAGCACATTTAACCATCAACATATAAACACAACTAAGTAATAACTAAGGCAAAAGAAACAGGCACTGAGCTACATCCTCCACCCTTTTCGAATATATTTTTTGAGGCAGGTTCTCCTTAAGTCACCAAGCTGACCCCAGAATGGGCTCCAACTTGCAGTCCTCTTTCTTCAACCTGCCAGAGTACTGGGACTTTAGGCCTGTGCCACCATGCCTGGCTATGGGAGGCATTTTTAAGCGAGTAGGACTCTTGACATCATTCAAATTACATAAAATATGTTCTATTTCATGCAAGGGAGCTTCATATGAGAGACACGACTGGGTGGGAAGAGACAGAGGTTTGAGACTGTGTCACCACTTCCAAAATGAGCCAGAGAGACCATTAGCATCACTAGATCTGGATCCTCATCTTTAAATGAGAGTACTGAGCTCTGCCTGGCTTGCTTTGGAGAGCTGTGCTAAAGACCACATAGTTAATGATGAAAAGTATGTAGTAAGTGGCCAAGCCCTTTATGCCTAGAGGGACCACATTATTTTTTGTTTCCAAGATTGGACATTTCCAAGAGGGAAAAAGGATGTTACTAATGATGCCAGGACAACAAGAGTGAATTCAAACAAGGCAGCACGTGTGTCCTCCTTGCTTGTAAGTGCAAGGCTGCTCACTGAGGCAGGGTGCGATATCATGAACACAATGGGGACGGGACTCAGGAAATCCAGATTTCAGTCTTGGTTTAACACTCTCTGAGCCTCTCTGGGCTTCCAGTAAAATACAGCCGAACCTTCCTGATCACACTTATAGAACTACTGATAGATTCGAGACCACGACTGTGTGAGGACTGAATCCTGAAAAGCTCAACGCAAATGAGAGCTGCCGGCACAGTACTTCGGGGGGCTGTGACATGAGGCCCTTGGAGGTGGGTGCAGTACCTCGGGGTGGGCGTAGGCAGCTGCCGCGTCCCTCTGCAGGGCTGCACGGATGTCTGGCATGCTGTCTAGGATGTTATCAGAGCAGTTTGCTTTGCCATGCTTGTTCATCTCAGTTCGAATTTCTTCCATGTCCTCTTTGATTTGCTCATTTTCCTTGGTGAGGTTTTTAGAAACTTCCTGAGAAGAGAAAGAGAATCCATCGATTTGCTTCGGAGGTAAGCAGGAGGCAGCTACTGGTGATAGCCTTGGAGCACAGAGACACAACAGGCAAGCTGAGAAACTGAGAAACACGCCCGAGGGTGTGCCCAGCTGTGCGCCAGGCACCAGTGCCAGGTCAGCAGGCAGCAACCCCAGCCTCACACTGCTGGAAATACTGTCCCGTCTACCACGGCTTTTCTTATAACACTGCCCCAACCAGGATGCCTGACTCTTTTTGTCACTTGGGCACGGTCTGCCCTTATCCAGGGAGGAAGAATATGGCAAGAAATTATTTTCACTTACCCATGTGAACTGTTAACTAAGTCGATACAAGAGGGGCTTTCTAAGCAATTTTATAAGAGGTGGCCAAATAAATTTAGTTTGTTTCTTCTAATAAGCACAAACTCTTCCCCAGCACTTTAGCATCAATCATAGAAAACTGACAGGTTGGCTTCAGGCTTTGCAATTTATCCGTAAAAATGTTGCCCCCAAAGACCCACTTGGTACATTTGTCACGTTCCAGGCCTGCTTCATACCAGAAGGGGTCAAAACTGCACTGGAGGCAGCCAGCCCGGGGAGTCTTTTCTGAGTGCTGGAGGTGGAAGAGAGAAAGCTCCAGATGCCCCCTGGGGCTCTTGTCCTGGGCAGGGTGAGAAGATGGCAACTTTAACTGGGGACGGCCCCAACCACATCAGGACTTATGAGTGCCCAGTGGGGAGTGGAGTGAGTTCCGAGCAGGGCGATGGCGGGCTGGAGGCAGCTGTACAAGTTCAGCACAGAACTGATCAGCATCAAAGGAAACTTGTGGACAGGCTCAGAGATGCCCTTTCTCCTGTGGTTATTTTTAGAAAAGTTTGAGCTCCAGCATTGTTATAGTTTATATCTGGACGCCCTTAAAGCCTCATGCTCTGAGAGGCAGGGGTTGTGGAAGGTGACTGGGTTATAGCAGTGATGGCGCATCTTTCAGAGATGAGTGCCCAAACTGCAACCCCAAACTCAGTTATTTATCGCAAAATGCCAACACTGCCAGGCATGGTGGTACACGCCTGTAATCCCAGCACTCAGGAGGCTGAGGCAGGAGGATCACCATGAATTTGAGACCAGCCTGGGCTACACAGTAAGTTAAAAGCCAACCTGAACTAAGAGGGAGATCCTGTGTAAACAAACAACAACAACAAAAAACCCCCCAAAAGAAGCAAAGTGCCAACACTGCAATTAAGCCTGAATACAAAGTTTTAGTTTAGAAAAAACAACTCATATATTAATATCTTCTGTCTTAAAAGGAAAACAACAAGCTCGCCATAGGTTCAGTGCCCCTGGATTACAAGGACACTATAGCTGCTAGGTGTTGGGAGGTGGGGTCCGGTTGGAAAAGGCGGGTCACCGGGGGCTGACCTGGAAAGGTTTGTCTCCCTCCCTGGCTCAGCCTTTCCTTTCTCTCTACTTCCGGATACCATGATATGAGCAGCTTCCCCCCATCCCGGCCCTTCCACTGACCATGCAAGGACAGAAACTTCTAAAACATGAGCCGAAAACTTCTCTTCAAGTTGCGAGTGTTGGGCCCAGACTAAGGTTCCTACGAGCATCTGAAATTTTTTCCTTTGGGCCCTGTCTGAGAACCAGAAGGGTAAGTGACCTGGTAAAACAGAGGATGAGTTTGCTTCCTACCTTGCTCCAAAAGATGGGTATGAGAAACATAAAAGCTCAGACACTGAAGGTACAGCCCTGCATCCGGGGAAGGTGCCGCTGTCCTACCGGGAAGCCTCAGCGGCTTGGAGCCAGGGTGACCATGGCACCCAGACACCGTGGCTCTGGTGGCTCCTACAGGGGCTGCTGGGAGGAGCCCAGAGGTACTTGTTAAACTCACCAGGCTCCAGAACCATCGGCCATGCCATGCCTAGGACGCTCCATGCACGCCAGAGTCTGAGTCCTGGAAGGGCTTATGGTGTTCTGTGGAGCTCTGCCCAAGTCAGACTCTTTAAATTGCACAGAATTAGCTGTGAGTGCTAAGGTCCATGAGAAAGAGGTCTTGTTTTGAGAACACCCAGAGTAAGCGGTTTTATGAGTGTGCAGTCATCCCTGGTAGGGCTTAGCGGGGGCAGTCAAGCACACTGGTTAAGACTGTGGATTCTGGAGGGAGCTGTCTGGTTTCCACCTCATTCCTGCTATTCTAGATCTGTGATCTCAGGCAAATGTGAAACCCCTTGTGCTTCAGTTTCCCTTCGGTAACGTGGCAATAGTGCCAGCACTTTCCGCATGGGCTGCTATGATGATTAAGTGAGTTAATACATACAGAGACGCAGAGACGATACTCTGTGTCTGTTATTCGCAGAGAAAGTCACAGCTAGACTAGACCCCCAAACATAAGCCTAACTTGGCAGAGAGGGTACTGAGGCCCAGAGTAAGGATGTGATTTGCTGAAAGTCATTTGAAACCGTGGCACGGCTGAATCAGTACCCAGCCTCCTGGCCTTCGCTTCTGCAGCCCACCTGCTGCGTGGTTAAGAGGAGCGGGGAGGGTCCTGGCACTCAGCCATCCATCAGGAGCTCCCTGTGTGTCAGAGAGGCCAGGGAAGACTTGCTCTTTGCTCTCAGAATATACCAGAGGAGACGCAGATGCAGAGAAACACAGAAATACTGGATCCCCACAAATCCTGTCCACTCAGTGCACAACCTGAGGTGCTGACTTCATGCAGGAGCATGTTAGAAACGCAGATTTCCAGGTCCCTGCCCAGCTGGATCAGAATCTGTATTTTCACAAGCTTCCCAGGTGCAATTCACACCCACGGGAGCTTGAGAAGAACAGCTGTAAATGAGGAAGCTTGAGGCATAACTTCTGGAACGGGGCAAAAATGTACGACAGGCTATTTTACAGGCAAGATCTTCCTGGGACGAGAAGAAAGGTTCCTGGTCCCTTGGTGGGGTCCATGCATTCCCTGTAATCCACAGCACCTTGTCAGAGCCGTGCCAGGGATGGTCCTCCTGTGTATCTCTCATTCTAAGATGATGAAGCCCAGCAGGTCCAGGACACAACGTGTCATTTTTGTCATGGCATGAACGTGTACAGTACTAGCACGGAGGGCTGAAGCATGAGCAAGACCGACAAGGTCCTGCCCTACCGAAGAGCACTGTCTGTGAGAGGGAATCAGCAACAGACAAACGGGAAAATACCAACTAGCGAAAAGAAACTAAGCCACGAAGAAACTGTGACTGGACAGATGCATGTACCTGAGTCCTCGGTGAGATTCACGATGCCACCCTGAGGGGGCTGGGTGTGTTTACACTGGCTGCCAGGTGATGGACCCCCCAGAAGTGCCGCTCACTCAGTGGGGATCAGGCTGGCTTGGCCTAAGCATCTTTTTTTACTGGAAAGAAGGTCCTGCCTGGTTCCTCAATACCTTCATCAGGAGTGAGGCTCCCTAGCGGCTCCCACCTCCTGCTCCCCAGGTCCCACCACTGATTTACAGCCTCGAAGTCCATGTCTGGCTTCAGTAAGCAGCTGTTATTCCGAATTTCCACAGAGGGGGTTTGAGGTGGGCCTGGCTCGGAGAACCCAGGGGAACAGGATGGTTTATTCCCCTCGTGGGAGCAGCAAAGCCTGCTTGCCGCCTGAACAAACACCAGGCGGCAGTGGCATCACCCCATCAGCCCGCAGGGCTGGGCCAGCTGGTGGCCCCGGGGGAGCAGCTGCCTGGCTTTGGCACCCCCATCAGCGCTCTCTAAGTGGGCCTTGCCTGGCCCCCAGATCCTCCTGGGCTTCTACCTCCTGCACACCAAGGGCCTTTTGTGGGCACCTTTTGGGAGGTGCTGGGGATGTGGTGAAGCCACGACCTCGTGCTTCAGGCTCACCACTGTGACATTTCTGGTGTGTGCCACTTGGCCGGAGGAAGTGCTAGGATGTGGTGGAGGAGCAGAAAGGGGCCTACTGGTGGCAGACAGCACACCGCACGGTCATAGCCAAGGATTCTAGCACTGTGAAGAGAAGTGCAGGGAGGAAAGAGCAGGCACAGGCAGACAAGAGGGCTGGGCAGAAGGATGGGCACGATGCAAGACATGGGAACTTTGTCTTGAGTGTTCACACAATGAGTGCAGCATGCAGGAGGGGCATGTGGTTGGGTAGATGGGGACAGGAGTCAGTGCTGACAACATCCAGATGCATGGATACCAGAGGGCCTGGGCAAAGAAGAACCAGAATGTAGTGTAAGTGGGATGATGGGAATCGCTGGCAAACAAGGCAGGTGTCCTCACTGCACAGTACACTTGGTCAGAACATGGCCTTTGTTTTTCTCAGTACCGGGGGTGGAATGCAGGGCCTTCACACTGAACTACATCCTCAGCCCCTTTTTGATTTTTGATTTTGAGAGAAGGTATTGATAGGTCACTAAGTTTTGCCCATACTGGGCTTGTTCTTTCTGCTTCAGCCTCCCAGAGTGCTGGGATCACAGCTGTGTGCCTCCAAGTCTCACCTGGAACAGCTTTAACAAGCCACAGAGGCCGCCGCCACCGATATGTGACTGATGGAATGGGCAGAGGGCAGGCTGTCCCACAGGTGTGGTGACCATGCTCACATGCTGACCACATCCAGTTCCTGGACAGGTGCATAATGCGGTGCCAAGACCTTATTATGGCTTAAACCAAAACCACCAGGACCAGGGGAAGGGTGACCACAGTGAGGAGCTCTCCCTGTCCCCCCACTCTTGTTTTTCTGACCAGAGCCCAGGGCAGGGGTAGAAGTTTGGGGTGGTGCTGACTGTGGAGATGAAGGGTGAAAGCCACACCACAGTCACAGCCTGGAAACAATCACATAAGGCAAGTGATGAGCTCTCTATGCCCTTTGGAAAAATAAACATGGTGCCTACCTCGCCCAGGCTGGTGTGGAGAAGGGACAAAGGGCTGCGTGGGAATCAGTGCCTGGCCTGAGAAGGCTAAAGATGTGCAGATGAGGCTGGAGCGTGGTAGACCCTTGGGGTTGCAGAGTGC